AATCAAAGCTTTATTGGCATGTCGAGCATTTACAGTAGGGAAATATTTTCAAAAGTATTCAGAATGTTACGTAAAGAGATCGAAATGAATGGAAAAAACTAATATAAAAATATAACCAATAATAATAGGCTAATAATAATAATAATAATAAACAAATATTACGGGGAAAAGACGATCAGTTAATGGACTTACATGACTGTGGGATGGATAAAAATGTTTTCTTGTTGGTCTATTTTATATTATGCACTTTATGTAACATTTATTCATGATAAACTTCATTTGAATGCTGACTATCACACGTGATTGGTAGCCAAGGCATATGGTTTATATAATAATTTAATAATTATTATAATAATTAATATAATAATTTCTTAATTCAAAATAAAATATTTAATGAATCCATCTCTGATAATCACGGGTCGCTATGGTCACGCAGGTTTGTTTACGCATTAAACTTGTGGCCACGAGAAATGGATGCTGTTCCCTCAACATAGCATCTCGAGACCACGACATAATATCATGTCGTGGCCACGACAAAACTAAGTGAACCGAACATGTCACCTTACGGGCATCGTAATACAGGCATGAATCTTGAATGTTTAATATTATATTATTATATTATTATTATATTAGTCATCTTCAAGAATTGGCTAAAAACACATCTCTTCCATCTTTATTTGACCCTCTAACTCTAGCACTATCTATTCTAATTCTATTCTTTATTTAAAAAAAAAAAACTTGCCCCTTATAGACTTGCACTCTATTTATTTACTAACTGCTTGTTTCCTTTAAAAAAAACTAACACTAGCATCTCTAATCTTTTTGCATTCTATCCTGTATTTGTTTTCTTTTTTTATTTATTATACAATTAACAAAAGCAAAAAAGGCCTCTAACACTAGCTTGCTCAATTCTTTTTTCTGTTTTATCTGTTTTATTTTATTTATTATATGATTTAAAAAAAAAACCTTGCTACGTGTACTGCATTAAGCTAACTGAGACTTGTAATAACACTTGCATATCATTGGTCTTTTGTTGATTTTGATTGCTTCCATTGTCCTCCTTTGTAAGTCGCTTTGGATAAAAACATCATCCTTAATACATGCTTAATCTTCATTCTGCTCTCTGTTGTTCTGTTGTCTGTGTTTCTTTGTCTGTTCACAGCACTGTCCACATGCTGTGGTATCGGCATTTGGTATCGGAGCATTTTTTGAGTAAGAGAACGAGTACAGGAGCGCAGTATCAGGCATCCCTACTAAATACCAATTCAGATGCAGCTTCTGAAAAAAAAAGATGGCTGTTGTAGCCATAAAGTTTGTGTATTAAATGTCTATCTGATGCTTTTCTCATTTAACACAATAGTAATTTACATTTACATTACATTAGATTAACACTAGAACCGCCAGGGGTCGCTGTATACCTAAAACCACCAGTGGGTAAATTTGACCCACGCACATGACAACTGTTTTTATATGGCTAAAGAACATATTATTTCACTGTATTATGCTACTGTCTTCACAAAGGAGTGTCTAGAGTAATGAAATGATTGTCTAGTCATTAACTATACTTTTGTCCTGTTGTTTTATGTTCAAGGCTTTTGTAACGCAGGCTACACTAATCACTTTTTATAACGGTCAATATAAACTAAACAAGCCTGCACTGACAATGAGAATTAGCAGGAAGTAAATACATATTTGGGTGGTGTAATATTACAATACATGTCATTAATCAATATATTAAGATAACTTTATAAAGATATACGGTTTTCTCAAAGCACACGGACAGAAAGCGGCTGTCACAGCATGTGAGTACTAGACTAAGTTCTCATTCACACACAGGTTTACATTAAAAACACACATGAGTTAAAAACAGTCGGTTATGTCTGTGAAGGTAAACAGCTGAGAAATTAATTGCATGTTTATTTTAGATCTGTGGGGCAGCAGCAATATACAGTAAATAAATAATTAAATCCTCTGCTCTCTGTCTCCTCTGAGGCTAGGACTCTAAATAGTGTTCTGTGCTCATCTGTGCAGCCAAAAACAGAACAGTTAACATGTTTTGCTCAAACTTTCGCCATGGCATTAGAACTGGTTCACCATTGTCGCTTGCAAAATCAAAATGACGGCGCCATTGGTTTAAACTTACAGATTAAGGGGCGGTAATATTATAATGAGATCCCTTTGCCACGTCACCAAGGGAGCGAAATCTGACACGCTCGTTTTCTCAGACGCTTGCAGAAAAAAGGCTTCCCAAAACAAAGTTACTAGGTTAATCATTTTCACGTTTCCTTGGTTGGTAGATGCACCAGGGACCTGATTATAGCGCTTAAAACCTGGAAAAGTCCGATTTTCATGTTATGTCACCTTTAAATTACTAAAATATCCTATAGACAATAATGCGCAATAATAATTCACCACACTGCATTGGATGTATGATGCGATGACAAATTCAAGCGCACAGCTTCACCTAATTAATTATTAAATTGTTTAGTTATATCATTTATAATTTGAATAAAAGAACAACACCAATAAACTTCGGGTAATCAAAAAATGGTTTATTCATTATATCATAAATTAGATTTTTTTTTCCAGGAAACGGGCAGACTAGAATAAATAGCAACACAGAAGCGAACACTAAACAATTGAAATGGCAAAACAAAAATTAAATAATTAATCCAAATTTTGAACAATTATGAGTAACGTTAGGCTAAAACATCTAAATATGATACATTGATCGCCGTCAGATGCCGAGCCGACTCGAGACGCATCACTTATCTCCCCACCATCAGACTCTCCATCGCTCATGGCATTTAGTGCTTCTAATACCTCTTCAGCATCCATAAATCGCCTTCTTTTACTAATTTTGACTTTGTTTATGAAACTGATAACCGCTAATTTAGTGAGTGAAAAGCGTTGCCTAGCAATGTACAATGTTAAAACATAAGCGGCAAGAACATGACAGCGCGAAATGACTGAGAGACTTGAATGTTTTTTGAAAATCTATTATTTGAAAAACAGCTGCGGGTAAAAATTTCCCCCCTTGGCGATTCTAGTGTTAAACGTTTTAATCACTTGACAGCCCTAGTAATAAATATTATATATTTTTCCTTTTTTCTTTATTACGGCCATGGTATCAGAACCAATTGAAGTGGCAGCCCTAGGAAGACCTCTGTCTCTTGGAATGCTTTACGACTGCCGTGAAGACTCTTTCATTCCAGGTGGTGTATCTGCCTAAAAAACTAAATTAAAGATTTGGTCCCACTTTATATTAAGTGGCCTTAACTACTATGCACTTACATCAAAAATAAGTACAATGTAGCCTATTGTGATATTGTATTGCAAAACACTTCTGCTGCTATTGAGGTGGGATACGGGTAAGGTTAGGGACAGGTTTGGTGGTATGGGTAGGTTTAAGGGTGGGTTAAGGTGTAAAGGATGGGTCATCTTTGTAATTATAAATGTAATTACAAAAAACAATTACAGATGTAATTACATGCATGTATTTTTAAAATATAAGTACAATGTAAAAACATGTATGTACACGATAAGTGCATTGTACCAAATGATTAATTGAAATGTAAGTACACAGTTGTTAAGGCCACTTAATATAAAGTGGGTCCAAAGATTTTTTTTTTCTTTTAACGAAATACTTCAACAGTACATCACTTAAGCCCCGTTCACACCAAGAACTATAACTACAAAGATAACGATATTAGCATCCACACCAGCGAGCGATATCGTCTGTTTATTCCAAGCGCACGTGCGTCTGCTGCTTTAAATTCTTGAGCTCGTTACAGCAGGATGGATTCTGATTGGCTGTCG